TTATAGTTACCTTAATAATACCCCAATAGTAGTATATATAAACCAACGTATAGACACTGAAAGAGAAAGAAAATTTTTGAAATATTACCATTTGAAATGAAGGTTGATAAAGATTTGATTGTTTATAGGATGTTGTTGACTTTTTTTTAATTTCATCTATTTTAATAATTGAAACATTGAATGAAACGATTTTATTAATAATTTAATCTTCATCGATTTCTAAAAAGAAACATAGAGTAAAGTACTTATGCTATAAATTTAATCGCCTTCTATTTCAATATTAATCGAGAATCCATTATCTAAAAGATCATCTTCATCTTAATGTATATCTTCATCTTCATCTTAATTGCTTTATTAATCTTCATACTGCAATAAAGTATTTATGAAAAAAATTAATATATATTTCACATTATCTATTTATATAAATATAAATATGTAAATTACTTACAATGATTTCATCAAATGGTTCTTCACAACGTGGGCAGGTTTTGTCACTTAATGATCTTCTTAAAATACACTTATAACAAAATTGATGGCCGCACCCAATAAAAGCCAAATGTTGTGGTTTTATTTCTTCTGAGATACACTTTTTGCAAAAACCTTCTCTTTTCATTTTGTCTTTTATTAAATTTTGGTACTCTTCCCATTCTTTTTCTTCTTTTTCTTCCTTTTCCCTTTCTCTTATAATTTCCAAATATCTTTGTCCAAATATCCATTCTTCTGAGGTTGTTGATGAACTTGTGGATGGAACAGATGAAGTTGGTGGTGGAAATTGTGATCCAAGGTGTGATGGGGAAGTTGATAAACCAAATAAATGTGATGGGGATTGATTATTTGGTTTTACATATTGTGGGTGTTGTTGTGGGTGTTGGGAAAATTGCATTTGAGCAAATAAATTATTAGTTATTGGGGTATAATGTTGTATGGAGGTTATATTGTAATTATTATTATTATTTTGTTGTTGTAATTGTTTTTTTATTCTAATGTATTTTACTAATAATACTATAAAAAAAACAATTAAGAATACTACTAAAGAATACATAAAAATATTGTTAAATGAAAAATCCATTTTTATATATATTAAAATGAATATTTCGAATAAATAATTTTAATTTAAAAATTGTTATTATTATTATGAAATAAAAACTATAAATAAAAAAAAAAAGATTATTGAAAATTGTAAAAATAAAACTAAATTATTTGTATGTGAATAAAATAATAATGAAAAAAAAAAATCCTTTTAATTCAATAAAAAAAAAAAATTAAAAAAAATAAATTCAAAAAAAAAGATAGAACTGTTTTAAAAATAATAAAAAAAATAATTGTAAAGTAATAATTTTGTTTATATCTTTTTTTTATATTAATGATTAATCATTTTTTTTATTTGATTTTGATTTTTTATTTAATTCTCTTTTAAATGATACCCAAAACATTAACCTAACTTTTTCATTGTAAAAAAATGATTTTAAAAAAAAAAATTAATTAAATTGATTATTTATATTATTGATACAAGTAAATTAAATAATTTAATAATATTTATTTAATGATTAATTTTAATAAAATAATTATAAAGTAATTTAAATTAATTTTAAAAATTATAATTATGTGTTTTTTCTACACTT